ACCCTTGATTGTTTTTTTAACGAATGTGCGCGGCGCTAAGGCGAGAGCCACATGTTGGTCAGGAACCGCCCTCAATCCGTGAAATTCGTGCAATTATATAAACAATGATTGTTCGCGGCGCTAAGGCGAGAGCCACATTTTGAAAACGACCCGCCCTGAATACATACATGTCTTGCACAGTTCGAAAACGAATGTGCGCGTCGCGAAGGCGAGATCCACATGTTGATAACGACCTGCTCTCCATCGGTGAAGCTGTTTCCAATGTGTAAGCTTCAGGGTCATAACTGGTGAGAAAGTCTCAGGCGAAACGCCCGGCCCGCCCTAAAAACTGGCCTCGGGGTGCGACAGGGGGAAATCATCAAATAAAAGGAAATGGAATGGAGGAGGAGGAGGAGGAGGAGGAGCAGGAGCAAGAGGAGGAGGAGGAGGAACAGCAAGAGGAGGAGGAGGAGGAGGAGGAGGAGGAGGAGGAGGAGGCGGAGGGTCAGGAGGCAAAAACGCTTCGGCACTCGAGGGCGGAGAAGAATGAGGCACGGGTGTTCTTTCTTTCCCTTACTTGCCTGATCATGCCAGCTGTTGTGCTACGCTGCACTTTTGCACACCGCTGTCATGATCGGGACGCAGCTGATGCGATACAGCTTTAACGCTCAGCTGCCTTGCAGTGCTGAGGATTTGAGGAGTAAAAGGGTGACAGGTTCTTTTCTCCTTTTCCCGACTCCTGCCCTTGCGGGCGGGATTTGGGACGGGGGGTGTGAATAGAACCCGTATAATACCCTCATATATACTCCTTATCCTCACTCTCCTGCGCTTGGCCGTTTGGGCTCAGGTATTGGATTATATCGATCATACCTTTGATCGTGCAGGAGGAAAAGATATCCATCTTTCCCTCCTTTCCTCTACCAGCGGATCAGGGGTTCTGTACCTTTGTACTTCAACCCCATACACCAGAGGCGGGGGCCTACGCGGGACAAAAGGAGCGTGGGTGGTAGGCTCTTCGGGCAGGCTCACTGTGAGCTCCCGTGTCTGGCCTCGTATTCGGCGTGAGCGGCCACCAGCTTTTGGAACCCGTGGGCGCGTTCTGGCCGCTGCGCGCGCGAGCACAGGGGGGCACCCGTTGCCGGGGGGTGGGGGGGGGGGGCGGCGGCGGATGGCACAGTTGGGCGCATGTTTCGGCAGGGAAATCCGGACCCTGCCTTCGCAGATTCCCAGACGCCGCCCCAGCCTCGGGGTGCTCTCCCGCTTCTGAGCACTCGCCTCGCCGCGAGCACTCACTCCTGGTGGGGGTGCCTGGATCGCTCCGCACGGCCGCTGGAGGGTGAACGCCGACAGGGGCTCCCTCCCTCCTCCTCCTCCTCCTCCTCCTCCTCCTCCTCATCCTCCTCCTCCCTCCCTCCCTCCCTCCCTCCCTCCCTCCCCTCCCTCCCTCCCTCCCCTCCCTCCCTCTCCTCCTCCTCCTCCTCCTCCTCCTTCTCCTCCCTCCTCCACCTCCACCTCATCCTCGTCCCTCCTCCTCCTCCTCCCTCCTCCTCCTCCTCTCTTCCTCTTCCTCCTCCTCCTCCTCCTTTTCCTCCTCCTCCTCCTCCTCCTCCTCCTCCTCCTCCTCCTCCTCCTCCTCCTCCCCCCCGCCCGTGAGCAGACGGGTCTTGGGGAACACGCGTTAGCTGGAGGTTTTCCCCCGTTCTCGGGCTCCCAGGGCCCCCCCCCCCTTCCCGGGGTCCGAGGCTCTTCGGCGGCGAAGTCCCGGCCCTGCCCTCGCCGATCGACGGTTCGCTTTGCTCTTCGCCATTTCGGCGCTGCAAGTGGACCTGGTGCTCTTGGTCGCCCGCATCTGAAGCGCAGTGTAGCCCGCTCCTTCGCTCTTACATGGTAATTTAGGCCTCAGCTGGTTGGCAATTCCCTGACGGCGCCTGGCACCCCTGCGCGCTCGCGAACAACAAATCCCCACCAGCCCGCCCATTCAGAAATCCTGCCGATGCGAGCTGAAGGTGAAAGCGACGAAGAGACACGTTCGGTGAAACAAAGTGGGCAACCAGTGGGTAAACAGGGAGATCTCTGGGATCAGCGGGGGTGGCCTTGGGGGGGGCTCTTCGGGCCATCCCCGCGTGCAGGCGAGGGGAGGAGGAAGTGGAGGAGGAAGTGGAGGAGGAGGAGGAGGAAGAGGAGGAGGAGAACGGGGGCGAGGACATAGACCTCAAAATCGCCCCTTTGATCCCTCTTGGGGCTCTTTTTGGGGGTATTTGGGGTCATATTGGGGCTCCTCTGGGGTGTATTGGGGCCCTGTTGGGGCAATTTTGGGGCCACCTGGGGAGCCCTGGAGGGCCTCCAGGGAGGCTATCGATCAAATGGGGGGTCCCGGCCCAGGTCCCCCCCTCTGGGGCCTTCAAAATAGTTTTTTTAGTCCCTCTTGGGGCGGTCTTCGAGCGCTCTTGGGGCTCTTGGGGCCGTCTGAAGGGCATCTTGGGCTCCTGTCGGGCCTCTTTTGGGCCTTTTTGTGGCAACCTCGAGGCCCCAACGCGCATCGGAAACAAACGTGCAAAAAAATACGAGTCACTGAGTTCCCTTAGGTATTGGAAGGATTTTGGCCTCTTGGGGGTGTTCCGCGGATGCTCCGGGAGCAAGTGGGCCTCTTTTGGATCGGTCTTCGGGTTTCTTCGAGCATGTTGGAAACCATCTTGAGCCATCTTCGGTTATCGGGAGCAATATTGGAGGCCATCTTGGAACATCGGGGGCAATCTTGGAAGCATCTTGGGCCATCTTGGACGCACTTACCCTTCGCGGCCCCCGGAAGAATAACACATATAAAAAACATCAGGGAGGGGAGGGGGGAGGGTACCTCTCCCCGACAGGAAGAGGATTTTGGAAGAGGAAACAACCACGGCGTTAAGTTCACCTACGCCCAGAGGGCTGGTGAGACTCGACGGGAGGAGTAAGCCGCAGGAACATACACATTCGGAGGTTCTCGCGACTCGAAGAGCAACAAGCTGCATGAACACACGTTTTCGGAGGTCCTCGCGGACTTCTTGGTTTGGTAGCGGACCTCTGACAGTTTGTGCTTATGTAGTTGCTCCGACTTTTACTCATGACCCCCTTCGCAAGATGCCTGCCAGGATATATTCAGGGTCTCGGAGTACACACGCACACACACACACACACACGCACACGCACGCACACGCACGCACGGCGCACACACACACACACACACGCACACGCACGCACTTGCGCACGCACGCATGCACGCGCAAAGACACGGACACAGACGCAAACGCAGACACAGACACAGACACAGACACAGAAATTGACACAGACACAGACACAGACACAGACACACACACACACACAAACACACACACACGCACACACGCACACACGTACACAAACACACACGCATACTCGCACACACACACACACACAAACACACACAGACACACACACACACGCACACACACGCACACGCACACACGCAAACACGCACACACGCACGCCCTCACGCACGCACGCACACACGCGCGCCCGCCCGCCCGTCCGCCCGCCGGCCCGCCCGCCCGCGAGCACGCACACGCACGCACACACGCAGGCGCGCACGCCAGCCACGCACGCAAGCCACGCACGCAAGCCACGCGCACACGCACGCACGCACACGCACGCACACACGCACACGCATACGCACACGCACACGCGCACACACACAGACACCCACACAAACACACCCACAATTTAAGTTGGCGGCGCAGAGGGTCCTCAGCCGATGGACGTGCTAACTGCGATCGGGCGTCGCCGACGGCGCAGTGTACGAAGCGTCGCACAGTGTGCAGTGCAGGCCATGGGTGTGTTTGCTTGAGGAACTGTACGTCACACACATTCACACACATAAGCACACGCACACGCACACGCCCACGACCACGCCCACGCCCAAGCCCACGCCCACGCCCACGCCCACGCCCACGCCCACGCCCACACACACAAACACAAACACACGCACGCGCACACGCACACGCACACGCACACGCACACGCACGCGCACGCGCACGCGCACGCGCACGCGCACGCGCACGCGCACGCGCACGCACACGCACACGCACACGCACACGCATACTCACCAGCACACGCGCACTCACGCGCACATGCACACATGCACGCACACGCACACGCACACACACAAACACACACACACACACACACACTTCCACACACCCTTACGCACACACTTGCACTTACACGCACACACGCACGCACACCCACACCCTCACCTTCACCCACACCCACACCCACACCCACGCACGCACGCACGCACGCACACACACACACACACACGCACGCACGCACGCACGCACGAACGAACGAACGAATGCACGCACGCACGGATGTACGCACGTACGCACGCACGCGCGCGCACGCGCGCACGCGCACACGCACACACGTACACAAGCACACACGCACACACGTACACATTTGCACACACGCACACACGCACACACGCACACACGCACGCACACACGCACACACGCACACACACACGCGCGCGCACACGGGCACACGCGCACACGCACACGCACACACACACACACACGCACACACGCACACGCACGCGCACACTCACACGCACCCACACACGCACACGCACACGTACGCTCACGCTCACGCGCTCACGCACGCGCACGCACACGCGCACGCGCACACTCACACGCACACGCACACGCACACGCACCCGCGCGCACACACAGACACCCACACACACACAGTCACCCATACACATCCGCACACATCCACACACAAATACACGCACCCACACACCCACCCACACACACACACAGACACACGCACACCCACACCCACACACACATATATATATATATATATACACACACCCGCCAACGCACACGCACACGCACACGCACACGCACACGCACACGCACACGCACCTTCACACACACCCACGCACTCACGCATTCACGCGCACATGCGCGCACACACACACACACCCCTCACACACACATGCGCCCTCACATTCATTCACTCACACTCACATTCTCGCACACACACACGCTCACACACTGACGCACTCTCACACTCGCACACCCACACACTCCTCACGTTCTCACACCCCTCACGTTCGTACACTCTCACACTCCCACCTCGCACTTTCGCACACACCTACACCCACACCCACACCCACACCCACACCCACACCCACACCCACACCCACACCCACACCCACACCCACCACGCACGCACGCACGCACGCACGCACTCACGCACAAGCGCGCAAGCGCGCGCGCGCGCGCCCGCGCACGCACGCACGCACGCACGCGCGCGCGCACGCACGCACGCACGTACACACGAGCTCCTGCATAGAACATTAGAGGTGGAAGAACTGAGATATGTAATGGAGTAGTCAGGAAACGATATAGATAATGATATACGCTTTTCTTCATGGAGCTCGGAAGACAGAAACACACAAGTAGCGCTACAGCGCGGAGGCCGACGACCCAGTGTCTATTTGGAAGTGCCGTCTTTCTTTTGCAGGCTCTGCGCCGGTTGTGCGAATTCATGTTTAGGCCAGGATGCAGCGGCACCGTTGCCTGCGGCGGCTCCGCTTTCTGGCGGCATGCGCGCAGGGGGTGGCGCGAGGGGGTGGCGTACTGAACAGGGCGGTCGGCCTCTCATACAGTCCAGACGCTAAACTAAGGATTGCTTTGGGTTCGGAAGGGGCTCGATTGTCCTTAGGTCCTTCCATGGCTGTTCCTCCGGCCCCCTCGTGCACGAAGGCGCTTGCGGGGTCAAGAAGAATATTCGTTCCTTACCTATCGTTCTTTATCCGTAATGGCTTCGCCCCCTGTCGCCGGCCCCCTCTCTATCAACATGGGATACCTCAGAGTCGCGTCGGTGCGTCTCGGTGCTGCTTTGGCGCATCTGGGAACATCATGCGAGGGCGGATCATAATCATCAACGCATCTTGAGACGTTGGGGTTATCTAAGACGCCTACGGCGAACCACCGCCGCTCCCTGCCTTTTTGGAAGCGCCTATGTGGCCGAACGTTGAGGCCACTATCGGACCATGTGTTCCCCGAATCGGTTTGGAAAGCCTTCGGGGAACACGAGGGCATCTTGAAAGTCATCTTGGCCGTCTGGAGGCCATTTTGACCCTTTCGGGCCTTCTTAAAGGACGCCTTGGAGAGCTCTTGGGCCGTCTTGGAGTCCATCTTCAGCGTCTTGGAGGCCTCTTGGGCCGTCTTGGGGGCCTCTTGGGGCCGTCATGGGCCTCTTTGGCGATCTCTGGGGGCACTTGGGCCGTCTCGGGCCGTCGGAAGGCAGAAAAAATGCAGTTGCCACAATCTTTCAAAAACTTATGGGAAATCAGCGATTTTGGTCTTTTCGGCCCTTCCTGGAGGCCCTATTGGAAGGTTCTTGGGCCGTCTTGGGCCATCTTTGGGCCATCTTCGGCCGTTTTGGTGTGCTCCCGGCCCGTCTGACGCAGTCGGAAGCCGTTTGGGGGGCCCCTCTGGGCCGACTTGGGGCCCTCTTGGAATGCTCCAGAGCCGTCTTGGAGGCCATCTTGGGCGGCTTAAAAGCCTCCTGGGCCGTCTTGGGGGCCTGTTGGGGGCCTCTTTGGCCGTTCTGGGGCGCCCCCATGAATTTAGAGAACGCGACCCGGGCGTGGCAACCGGGTCGTTTGGGGCTCCCCCCCCTCTTCGCGCGAACTTCAACAATTTACAGTAGGAAGCAGACAGCAGGACTGTAACATTGCAGACTTGAGACTGCAGCTGGTGCACGGAGCAGCAGCACTTCGGCCTACAGCCTGGTGGCCCCACAAGGGGCCCGCGGATTTCAACAGCCCGACTGCAATGCGGAAGCCTTCTAAGAAGGGCACACGGGTTTCGAAGAAGCCCCCGTGCCTTCTTGGAAGCCCTCCAGGCTTCTTACAGGGCCACCCCCCTCGCGCCTCCCACCTACGGTGCGCGCCGCCAACTCTTGCCAGCAAGCCAGTAGGGATTGCTCTTGTCTTCCTTTCTACAGTCTACCGACGTCCAGTGTGATTTCTCCAGTCGGCTTCAATAGACGGCTGCGGGACATTCTGAGGACGATCCGCTGTGACCTTCCGGAATGCGCCAAGCGCGGTGGAGACAGGAGGAGGACGAGGAGGAGGAGGAGGAGGAGCAGGAGCAGGAGCAGGAGCAGCACCAGCAGCAGAAGGATGCAGGAAGGGCATTCTTGGAGTTATCACAACGCGTCGTGGCATCAGGGGAGGGAAATGGGGAAAACGAAAACGAGTGATGACGACGATGACGATGGCGATGATGTGATGGTGATGATGGTGACGACGACGACGACGATGACGATTACGATTACGATGAACATGACAGTGATCGTGTCAGCGGTAGTGATGGTGATGATGATTACGATGATAATAACGATGGTGATGGTGATGGTGATGATGAGGAAGATACTGATGTGCTGATGCTGCTTCTGCTACTGATGAGGATGATGGTAATGACATGCATGCAAGGAACGAGCGGACAAGGAGAAGGGAGTAGGGAGGGGGGATACGGGAGGAGGGATGAAGAGGCTCAGTGGTTTGGGCTCATACATATTTCATGAATTTGACCGTCTTCACTTGGAGTAGTCTGGAGGAGGGTATCCTCGTTTGGCCGTGTATCATGATGACGTGGCCGGGCAGGGGTCTGGGAGAATCGTGCAAGTGTCTTGAAGAAGTTGTCAGGTAGCCTGCCCGGGAACGTACACATGGTTATAGGTCTCATCATTTATGTCTCAGGTGAGCCTCGACAGCGGGGAAACTGTCGAGGCTTGTTCTCGTCTGGTGCACGAGAATGGCGGTATCAGTGTCCGTGGTGTTCTGTTGGGGGGCTATCGGGCAGGTCCACTGTTCGACCGCGTCGGTGTCCTCAACGCCCATGCTCTCCTGTCTCCTCTCCAAGGCCATGCCCACAAAACGCTCCCAGAGCAACAACGTGCAAATTCGCAGGGAAACGTGCGAATTCTATTTAAACGCATTGTCTTGAACCCAACGACAACAACGTTTAGTAGTCACGGCAATTGGTGCGAACACAGCTCTGCGCAGGAATATTGATGGTTCCATTGGAGCCTCTCTTCTCCCCCTGCTCCGCAGCCCCACGCTGAAACAACGGCAGTTGATCTTATCATGCAACTGTGGCACACTTCTATACTAGGGACTCGAACTCTTTCGATCGGAGTTTGGATCGCCCAGATCCATGGACGTGTGGTTCCAGACGGAGGCCAGAATCGAAGAAACAGCGCCATAAGCATTAACTTTTGGCGCTCCGCGCGGATTTCTTGGATCCGCGCCCAGCGGCGCCGCCGGCGCCGCCCCTGGCAGCGCCAGCGGCAGACACAGACACAGGCACAGGCACAGGCACAGGCACAGACACAGACACAGACACAGACACGGACACAGACATAGACACAGATACAGACACGGACACAGACACGGACACAGACACAGATAGACACAAACACAGACACAGACACAGTCACGGACACAGGCACAGGCATAGGCACAGGCACAGGCACAGGCGCAGGCACAGGCACAGGCACAGACACAGACACAGACACAGACACAGGCACAGACACAGACACATATACAGACACGGACACAGACACGGACACAGACACAGACAGACATCCGTAGCCATTTTGGCTCAAGGGAGCGGGCTCACGGGATGCCCTCACGCGCGCGCCCTGGCGGGGCGCCCGGGGCGCGTGCAAGCGGCATGGAAGCGAGGCGCTGGGCAGCGTCCAGCGCGCGGACCCTGGCGAGGCGCCTCCGCCGCCAGCGGCGGGAGGAGCTTGGGGGCACGCGCGCGTCGGCGCTGGCTCACCGCGTGCAGGCGCTCAGGGTCGCCCTTGCCGTGCACTGGCAGCTGGGCGACGCGCTGGGCTGTCACTTCCCCACGATGGCGGAGACGCTCCAGGCGGCTCGGGTTGTGGGGCTGCCGCAGGAGTGCCTTCAGACCGCGGAGGAGGCCCTGGGCGCTGGCAACTGGGCGCGGCACGCGGGGCCGCCCAATGCTGCCAGGCGCCCGCTCCCATGCCGTCGGGGACGAGCGCAGCCTTCCTGTAGAAGGTCCTCAAGGTGCAGTCCTTCCCGCTGAACGCCGACGCGGTGCCGTACAGCTGCTGAGCGCCAGGGGACTAGAGCAGGGCCGTGCAGGAGGGCCACTGCGAGGAGGACGACGAGGAAGCAGCCGTGGAGGAGGGCGCCGTGCAGGTGTACACCAAGAGCGACGTGGGCATCCAGTGCGTGGACGCGGAGCAGGCCGCCGTGAAGGTGGCCAAGGCCGACGTCGGCGCAGAACAGGCGGGCAAGCTCATGATCGACGGGGGCTGCTCTGGAGCCAGCTTGGCCGAGGGCACGGGCGAGGCCGGTTCGCCGGCATACACCGTCTGCGACTCGGAGGCAGGCTTGGAGGGCGGCTTCGAGGAGATGAGCGACGAGAAGGAGGCGGGTGTGGCCATGCAGCGGAGGGGGTGGGCCGCCAGGGCCAGAATCTCTCGGGCGTGGCTGGGCACGAAGGCCCCGGAGAGCAAAAACATGGCGGAGCTCGAGGCGCAGGGCGTTGAGGGCTCCGCGGGGTCCGAAGGCAATGGCATCGACGCGCAGAGGGTGCGGTGCTTGCTGACGGGCAAGGAGCACCTGGCGGAGCTCGAGGCGCAGGGCGTCGAGGGCTTCGCGGCGTCCGAAGGCAAGGGCATCTACACGCAGGAGGTGCGGCGCTTGCTGACGGGCAAGGAGATGAGCGACGTGAATGAGGCGGGCGTGGCCATGCAGCGCGGGTGGTGGGCCGCCAGGGCCAGGATCTCTCGGGCCTGGCTGGGCACGAAGGCCTTGGGTGGCAAAAACATGGCGGAGCTAGAGGCGCAGTGCGTTGAGGGCTTCGCGGCGTCCGAAGGTAAGGGCATCGACGCGCTGGAGGCGCGGTGCTTGCTGGCGGGCATGGTGAGTGAGTGAGTGAGTTAGGCGTGCGGTTGCATCATTTGTATATCTGTCTCGCCTCGGTGGGGGGGCCCTCTGCGGCCCCCGCGGCGAGAGGAGGCCCTGGGCGGCCCCTCTCGGGCGTGCAAGCATGTTTGGGGCGTCGCCCGTCGCGTGTCTGCACGGTTGTATATATTCCAGCGCTTCGCGCTGATGCCCCTCGACGGGGGTCTGAGCTGACAGGCCGAGCGGTGCCTCGGGGCCGATGTGCCCTGGTGGCAGCCTTCTGCGGCTCGTCTGGGCTCTCGGGATCCCTTGTGGCCCGCCCCCTGTCTTGGGATGGCCCCTTGGGGCTTGGGCCCCTCAGTGGGGCCTGGGCCCTTTGTGGGCTTTTTTAGCCTTTATAGGCCCCGCGCTAACAGACACAAACAGACACAAACTCAGACACAGACGCAGTCTCGGACACAGACAAGACACAGGCACAGGCACAGACACAGGCACAGACACAGGCACAGTCACAGGCACGGGCGCAGGCGCAGGCGAAGACGCAGACACGGACACAGACACAGGCACAGGCGCAGGCACAGGCAAAGGCACAGGCGCAGGCACAGGCACGGACACAGACACAGACACAGGCGCAGACATAGACACGGACACAGACACAGACACGGACACGGACACAGACACGGACGCAGACACAGACACGGACACAGACACAGGCACAGACACAGACACAGACACGGACACAGGCGCAGACACAGACACAGGCACAGGCACAGGCAAAGGCGCAGGCACAGGCACAGGCACAGGCACAGGCACAGGCGCAGTCCAGTCAATCGTTCGCTTGTCGTTCGCTCGTTCAGTCAATCCCACGAGGATGCATTGCTTCAGAGCGTTCCACAGCGCTCTCAGAGCGTTCCAGGAAGCTCTTGCGCGGCCGTGGCGTCCGGTACTCTACCTCCGCCAGGCCCGCCGGCTCTCAGAGGTTCCCGCTGTGCCGTCATTCAGATTGATCACCGTCCTGCTCTTGTCTTTGCTCCGCCCCGCTGTAACGTCATCCAGATTGATGTGGCGCCCCGCCGGTGCGCAGGCGATGACGGTCCCCGAGCCCGTCACGCCCAGCGCGGCGCCCTGAAGCGGAGGGGGTCCTGCCGCGCCCCGCTCCGCCGCTGCGAGCCCGACCCTCCCTCGCGCGGGCTGGGGGGCACCGAGGGCCCAGATCTGCGACCACCTGCGAACCCAGACCCCTCCTCCTCCTCCTCCTGCTCCTCCTCCTCCTCCTCCTCCTCGTCGTCCTCCTCCTCCCCCTCGAGTAGGGCACGGAGGGCCCAGATCTATGACCCCGCGTGTCCAATGGACGCGGGGGTATCGGACACCCCCGCCGCTGGGGCTCACCCAGCTGCCGATGCCCTTCGAGTCGTGTTCTGTGTTCCTCGGACGTCTTACCTCCCCGGGTAGGGTGCACGCAGGTTGCTTGTGCCAGACCCCTTGGGTGTCGAGGACGAAAATCACGGCATTCGTCAGAAACAAATCGGCCTTGGGGAACCGTTTCTGGGCCTTGGTCCAATCTATGCGGGGTGGAGGCGGCGCAGAGGGAAGAGGCAGTGTGAGAGGAGGGAGGAGGTGGAGGATGAGTAGGGCAGTGATGACGACGACGGCAACGAGCGCGAACGTTATCATTTGTACGAGCAGGAGAGCGAAGACGAGGCGGAGACGGGGGAAGAAGGCCTCGGATGGACCCTTACCGGGAGCAGCCTCCTCCTTTTCCTCCTCCTTCTCCTCCTCCTCCTCCTCCTCCTTCGTTCCCACTCCCCCCTGCGCTTGCGTACCCTTCCCCTCGCCATTCCCTTTCGTTCCCGCTCCCCCTTGACTTTCTCACCTCTCCCCTCGCCCCTTCCTTCTCGCTCCCACTCCCCCATGTCGTTCTGGCGCTCGCTCCTCCTCCTCCCCTCCTCCTCCTCTCCTCCCCTCTCCCCTCCACTCCTCCTCCTCCTCCTCCTCCTCCTCTCCTCCTCCTCCTCCTCCTCCTCCTCCTCCTCCTCCTCCTCCTCTCCTCCTCCTCCTCCTCCTCCTCCTCCTCCTACCCTCCTCTCTCCCTCCTCCTCCTCCCCTCCTCCTCCTCCTCCTCCTTCCTCTCCTCCTCCTCCTCCTCCTCCTCCTCCTCCTCCTCCTC